ATGTTTGTCAACCGATTTTGATCGGGTTTCTTTCATTGTATTTCTTGTAACAAGGGCAAATGATAGCAGTTAAAAATTTTCGATTTTCGAAAATTCGTTGCATACTTTTTTTTGCCGAAATTAATCGAAAAATACTATTTCGGTTGTTATTTGGCGGATTGACTTGAAACTTACATGGTGTAGACCGCCAGCAAAGTGATATAAAAACACACATTCAAAATTTTTTCATTACTTCCGGTTTCGATGTTAGTACTTCCGGTGGCGTCACTTCCGGTGGAATTGATTTATGTCAAAAGTAACATATGCATTATAGTACCAGCCTTAATAAAAACTTGTTAAACTAAAAAAAATCGCACCGGAAGTAACACGTAGGCCGCCATTTTGGTTTGCCTTATTTTGCAGAAATTGCTATTCAGAGGCCATTTATCATTTGATTTGCGTAACTTTTGTGTCATACAATACGTTTAATGTCTGTCTACAAAAAATGGGAAGCATAATTTTTATTTTCGGTTTTGCCTTTTTTGTACGACCTAATTTTTTTTTCAAAGTTTGAAGACTTATAACTCATGACCTTGACCTTTGATGACATTTATATTGACCATGGTGATAAAGCTGTCCTTGACCTTCTCATGACTTTTTGACCTTCGGGGACAAACAACAACTTCTGATTTTATAGGGGTCTAAATATGGTCAATTTGGCATTTTTGCAGTGCTGTATCTCAAACCCTAATTGATTTAGCGCCATACCACTTTCAGATTATTAATGCACTTAATAAATGGTTTCAATTAATGTGGCATTTGATGATGTCAAAGTCACATTAACGGAAATGTTGCAATTTCCTTAAAACTTTGAACGCGTCTATCAAAAGAACTTGGCCTCGGATGACGTTGATATTTACATTAATGTTTACTATTGACTTCAGCTTTTACATGATGCTAATATTTTTTGTGTCCGACACGTGGTTAAGGTTTTATGGGTGTCACTGAAAGTTGAGTCTGCATCTTTAAAGCCTCCTCACATGTGCCCTATTAGAGGTAGAGCAATAATTTTTTCGGATTCAAAATGCTGAGATCCTGCACTTTCCAATGATATATAACATGCATGCCTTACATACAAATTAAAAACCCCATTCACTTAACATGGGATTATTATTATTATTAGATAAATCGACTAATTAGATTAACCTGGCTGTCAACCCCAATAGAAATCAAATTTTAAGTTGTTTTAAAGATACCCTTCCTTTCACATGTTTTATGTCCAGTGTGGTATATAAATAAGCTCTAGGGTGGATTGAACTTATCAATACTGCAAGTTTAGCTCACAGAAGCACATTAAAGGGATACCCCCACTTAATTTACCAACTTTCTTATTTCTTATCCGATTTTCATCAAACTTGGAATGTATGTGTATAATCAAATTCTAAATTATCGAATTTGCATAGTGCGCATGCGCATTGCCAACTTTCTCATCTCTTATCCGATTTTCATCAAACTTGGAATGAATGTGTATAATTCAATTCTAAATTTGATGGAATAATCGAATTTGCATAGTACGCATGCGCATTACCAACTTTCTATTTCATCAAACTTGGAATGTATGTGTGTAATCAAATTATAAATTTGATTGAAATATTGAATTTTTGTTGTGCGCATGCACATAACCAACTTTCTAATTTATTATCCGATTTTCATCAAACTTGGTATGTACGGTATGTGAATAATACAATTCTAAATTTGATGGAAATATTGAATTTTTAGTGCGCATGCGCATTACCAATTTTCTTACTTATTATCCGATTTTGATCAAACTTGGAATGTATGTGTATAATCAAATTCTAAATTTGATGGATTTATCTAATAATTGTTGTGCGCATGCGCATTACCAACTTTCTTATTTATTATCCGAATTTCATCAACTTGGTCTTTATTAATTGACAAATATTGTTTCATTCCTAGTCAATATACATTAAACTCCAGGCACTTTTGGATATTTGCATTTAGAGATGCAGAAAAGTATTTACATCAATGTAATTGCAATAGACCCCCTCCTCCAATAAATAACTTTGTCGCAATACCATGTATAGGTTCTCGGTGTCGCACCTGTGAACATATCCATTATTGTCTCATTATTTTCAAAATAAAAAGAACGGAAAAATATTTGAAATTAAAGAACGTCTCACGTGTACGGATGAAAATATCATTTACCTAATTTCGTGTAAAAAATGTGACAAACAATACGTCGGCGAAACCCAGAACGCGTTGCGAACTCGATTTAGCGGCCATCGCCTTGATATAATTCATAGCAAAAATAGACCAATTTCTCATCATTTTAATTTACCTGACCATTCCATTGAAGACCTTCTTATCATGCCTATTGAATCAATTCCTGACTCTGATCTTATCAAACCAAAAACCAAACGATTACAGAGAGAAAGCTACTGGATGGACCAACTCCAAACAGTGACTCTAAATGTACTTAACATCCAGCATGATAATCAAATGATTCCATTTGTTGCCACCTTTAATCATACAGCTGCCAAAACCTCATCCATCGTCAAACAGTATTACAGTGAATTACAGAACAGATTTCCGAATGTATATACCAAACGACTTGTTATTGCCTATAAGCGCAATAAAAACCTTAGTAATTTCCTGGTCCGTGGTAGACTCGATCCCATTGAATCCAATAATACTTGACCCCCCTCTCTATTTTCTAGCTCATTAAGTATAATATATTCTAATCCTTATATATAGATGTTTATCTTTTCAGAACCTATTCATACTCTTTTCTTTTAGAACTGGTAACAAGAAAACTTTCATATTATAGACTTTTGTTTATTGTAGATTACTCGTTGTTGTTTTTTTAACTTAATACTAACTATGCTAACTTCACCTTATCTTGTATTGAACATTTATCTCTTTATTTGTGACCTTGGCCAGTGCTTTACATAGAAGTTTTTAGGAACTTCTTCACTCTTAACATCATCTTCGTATGTACCTGAATGTCTTAACCCGCCCTGCATCAGTACTGTTATTAGAACAGTTCTAGTTGCAGGGCGTTCGGAAGCGAACGCCCTGCTTTGTTTTCGTATTGATTTTTTTTTTTTTTTCGTCCACGGCAGGCCGGTTTTCTCCAAAACGGCAACAGGTACGGGAAAACGGGCTTCGTAGCGTTTCGTAACTCGCGGCTTATCCCAGCTTAAATGTAAAACGAAAATTTTCTGAGCAAAATTGCAACAAACGGAAAATGGACTCTAGAGCGCGTGTTTATCAACCGATTTTGATCGGGTTTTCTGCATCGTATTTCTTGTAACAAAGGACAAATGATAGCAGTTGAAAATTTTCGATTTTCGAAAATTCGTTCAATACTTTTTTTTGCCGTAATTAAGCAGAAAATACTATTTCGGTTGTAGTTTGGTGGATTGACTTGAAACTCACATGGTGTAGACTGCCAGCATAGTGGAATAAAAGCACACATTCAAAAAAAATTTATCACTTCCGGTTTCAATGTTACCATAATATGGTGGCCCATGAGCTCCATAGCTGTTTTATTATTTTATTTATGAAAAAAATATTCTTTTTAATTTGAATTCATTTTTATTTCACTTTCATTTTGATTTTAATTTTCATTTTACTTTCATTTCGTTTTTTATTTTACTTTCATTTTGTTTTTAAATTCGTTTTACTTTCATTTCGTTTTTTATTTTACTTTTATTTTTATTTTACTTTCATTTTGTTTTTAAATTCATTTTACTTTCATTTCATTTTTACTTTTTATTTCACTTTCGTTTTGTTTTTAAAATCATTTTACTTTTTATTTCACTTTCGTTTTGTTTTTAAAATAATTTTACTTTTACTTTCATTTCACTTTTTATTTTACTTTCACTTTCGTTTTGTTTTTAAAATCATTTTACTTTTAATTTCATTTTCGTTTTAAAAAAAAAATTCTTCTTCATTTACTGCGCCATAGTGTCCAGATTATCCAGTCACACTTTTGTCTATCATCCAAGTGTTAGCAAGAGTTATTCCCCTTGAATGTGCTCATGCGAGTAACCTCCCCTTTAACGGAAATAGCACCACATGTGGTGTTTTGGTGTTTTGTCACAAGTTCTTGTAGTTGATATTGAGGGTTACCGGTATTGGCAAAACCGTGGAATATTTAAAGGTACGTACAAAGACTCTCGGAACATGTTGAGCTGTGGGTAGGCCTATAGTATCCCCAAATACACATTTTATCATAATTGTTTGTCGTCGAATCCAGACTTTTGCGAGTTATTCCCCTTGACGGAAATGAATGTTGACAGTTTGAGCAAAATGGCTGTCAACAATAGTCTTATGATTTTGATCATTGAAAAAAGGTCTCGGGCCTAATTTGCTATACTTGTCAAATGACGAGATTAATATTATTACCTAGTCCGAAACTTGCTGACTCTTTCCCAAGCCTCTGATAGCTATTTGGACGGATATGGCTGGGAGAGAGTCAGAAAAACTAGGCCCAAAAACCTTGCGATTTTCCGCACTTCAGCGGTTGCGGGGGTTTTAAACGTATTTATTTACCTCGAATACACAAATTTTCGATATATTTGGAAGATTGATGATTTTTTCATACCATCATTATCCCCCTATGACATACATACGTATGCGAGTCCATCAGAGTCAAAGTTGTTTTCCAAGAAATAAAGACTGTGGCTCGCCATTGAAAGGTGTGCAAAATCCCAAATTTTTGTACCTTAGTGTTTCTGACTTTCCGCCAGCCATATCTGTCAAAATAGCTGTCAAAGGCTTGGATTATTACCCTGCAACTATCTTACCCGATTCCTTTGTCACTAGCCAGGTGTGTAGTTTTAGAAGCGGGAGTGGGAGCATGTATATAAGATATTAATTTAATCGTTGCAACAGTTGAAAATAAATTTTCCACAAACATCTGTACGTTGACAAAGTCATAAATCCATCTAAAATGAACTTTTTCAGATTGTGCTGCTAGAAAACCTTGATCTAACATGGCATGGATCCCCCGAATTAGAAATGTTACATGGCAAGAAAATACAGATTTAAAGAAGAGTCTAGTTACGTATGTGGAGCAAAACTTAAAATTGTGTGAAATACTTGACTTCATTGAAAGTGAATATCCTGACTATGCATGGAGTCATCGTACGTTACAGAGAAGAATGGCATATTTTAGTGTTAAGTATGTGGACAGTAATCTAGATCTAGAACATATAGAAACAGCTGTTAAACAGGAAATGTCTGGTCCAGGAAAACTTTTAGGTTATCGTGCAATGCACAAAAAGATTCGTGAAATACACCATCTCAATGCTCCACGGAACATTGTATACGATATGATGGAATATATTGATCCTGAAGGTTTGAAAGTAAGAGGTGTTGTAGGGAAACCAAAGCGCCCACCTCGAAAAAAAATGGTTTATTTCTGAGGTATGGGAAACACAAAATGTTCTTCAAAATCTGTTTCTGCTTCTTCCATAATACAATTTGTATACGCCCACTTGTTGCCCAACTTGTCATCAATTGGTTCGTACACACACTTTTGAGACTGGAGTATTTTTATCTTAAATTTGTAGACGAGTCATTTTAAATATTGTTGACGAGTTAACTCAAGGTTGTAGACGAGTTAACTTACTTTGTAGACGAGTTGACATGTGGACAGGTTGGCTAGTATGTTGTAGAATGATACAATTGCCAATACATGAAACGTATACAATCCAACAATATGACAATGTATTCATTTTTGGTATGCGTTTTTCCTATTGTTATTAATATCAGTATATAAATCATTATTTTTGTTTCAGGGTTCAGATTATACCATGTCTCTTGACGGGCACGACAAAATTTGCGGCTATCAAAAGTGCACATTTCCATTAGCCATATATGGTGGGCAAGATACATATAGTGGCAGAATCAATTTCCTTCGGATATGGACGTCAAATAAGAATCCTGAAATCATTGGAAGATTCTACCTTGATTAGCTATTGGAGTCCAAAAGTAAGTACCGGTAGTTTTTTATTGATATACTTATTAATGAGGTTTTATTTCAAAATGCGGTTATATCCTTGTCAATCCTTCAGGTTCTATTTTCAGTATTTTTAAGGGAATAGTAAGCTTCTTGGATTTAGTTAACATGAATATATTATAGACTTACACAAGGTGAGAGAAAACCCACATTTTATAGTATGTATTTGATAATCAACAAAAAATGTGGCTATTGTAAAATGAAGAGAAAAAAAAAACTGTATTGGGTGTTTGCATGGCAGCCATGTTGGTACATTGGCAACTTGCCAACTCGGTAAGGAAACGATGAGCTGTCTTTGTTTGCTGTACTCATGGCACCCACTAGGGTAGAGCTGATAGGGCTCTGGCCTTGGGGCCGGTGATTAGAAGGGGGCAGGGTTGGCGAGCTGATGTGGATTAGTAATCGAAATGAAATGGTGTTTAACGACATATTTTTATACAGTTTTTATACGCCCACATTAAGATGTGATCGTATATTGTCGTCACCCCTGTCCGTCTGTAATTGGCTTGTGAACGTGATAGAGACTACAGTTTTCATCTGATTTGGAAATAATTTTGATCAAATATTGATTTTTTATTTTATTTTTATGATTACCTTACAGAATTAGAGTTGACAAAGGAACAGAAACTGGTACACTATGCACCATGCAAGCCTATTTGAAGCATTTACATACAAATGAAGAGAGAGCAGCAGTGGACAGTGTTATATATGGACCTTCAACGGAAAATAAAATAGAACGGTACTTTTTTGTTCTTGAACTTTAACCCAGCATCATTGATTTGATTGCAAATGCAGTTCTTTTTTGGAAATTCTAATTAGATCTGATATTTTGTCTGCCTGCTGTGCTTGTGAACATGCAAAAGAATATATTTTAATGAAATTCTGAAATTGAATGATTGCTGCAATGTTAGCATATCTCCTGTAATCTGGAAAAATCTAGTAAGTCCACTTTTGGTGAAAAATTTGTTGGTAAAATTGTTTACCCCCTTCTATTTATTTAGGTAAAGTGGTTTTAAGTCTCTCCTTTTAAGAGGTTTTGATCTCGAAAGACCTAGTAAGTATAAAAATCATAGAGATCGTATATAAATCTGGTAAAACATAGAAATCAACTTACTAGGTTTTTCGAGATCAAAATCTCTTAAAAGGAGAGACTTAAAACCACTTTACTTACATAAAAAGAAGGGGTGAACATAGTAAGTTCAATTTTTCACCAAAAATAGATATATCAGCTGAAAAACCACACTAATATCTTCATTAAGAATGAATTGAAAATTCATCTATATTATGCAGCTTGATCCTGAATCTAAACAGTTTTCTCTTGTTTACTCGAATTTACATAAAAGTGACTACTAGGTTTGTCCAGATTACAGGAGATATGTCATCAAGCTCTTGTAAGAAATTCTGTTACTTTAGCCTCTACAGTGTTTCAGTGATCAAATAAAATTCCAGTTTTTATACGCCCACACATTAATATGGGCGTATTTTTGTGGACACGATAGAGGGCTGGTTTCTTGATGGATTTTGATGAAACTTGGTATGAGTGTTCGTAATAATCCATGGATGACCCTATTGAAAATCAGACAATTCCAAAAATATTTCATGGGTTATTTCCCTTGCTTTTGAAAAAATGTTGTGGACACGAGAGAGAGCGGTTTCTTGATGGATTTTGATGCTATTTTTATCAATAAATATTCATTAATGTTTCTTTCATGACCAGGTGGTGGAGAGAACTGCATCATAGAATGGAAACTTTCTTTAAAGATCGGTTAAGAAAGCTGTTGGAAAATGGAGATTATGATCCAACTAATGTTATTCATAGGTTTGTGTCATGCTTGTTAAACTAAAATATCATGTATATTTTTTCTTGGCCAAAAACTACCATATCTATTTAGCAAAATTGTCTTTGATGCACAAATTAAAAACTAATATAAAATCAAAAATTAGATTGAAATATTTAATGCTATCAGCAGATTTGAAATCATTATAATGTTCTATAATAAGAATTTTATTTCAGCTACATTACTTGCCATTGTATGATTACTTAATTGTTTTAAGTGTACCGAAACGGGAGGTACCTCAGCCGTTGGTAAACCGATCTCTTTAAAAATTCTCACAGATATACTTCAAGATGTCCTTGCCATGCCCCGAAATATGCCGGTCATCAATTAAAAATTGTACAAATATTGCCTCAAACAAAATAAAAAGTCAAGAAAAACAATATCAGAGAAAATTACCTATTCAACAGTGTTCAATGTGTCCTCCACCACCAATATCATTTATTTTTCCTTCCTATGATCTAAAGGTACCATCTCCCAAGGTACTTCCATTCACTTCTTGTTCAACCTGTTTGTCCAGCTTGCGTAATTAATGACTCTGGTCCATATGGATGTCCTTTACCGGGACACACTGATTGAACAGGAACTGAAAGGCAAGATGGTCGCTTCTTTGGAGATGGTACCTTTAGATGAGATTCATGCAAGCATCTCAGGATGGAAAAATGTGTGATATTGGTGGTCGAAGTAGTGAAAGCACATGGAACACAGGTTCAAATAGGTAACTTGCTCTGATATTGAACTTTTTGACATGCTATTTTGTTCGGTGCAGTACAATTATTAGATGATGCTCATATTTTCAGGGTTTGAAGAGGACATCATGAAGTATATCTGAGATACTTACCTTTGAACTTGGGGACGTTTTTGGACTTGCAATATATGATTTGAGAAATGCCCTACTACTCATGATTTTAACAAATCATCTGGATTTTAGTAGACAATTACCCATTATCCATGTTTTATTTTCCAGGAATATATTGGCTTTTGTATATGTACCAATCATGCAAAAAGAATTGGATATCTTCAGAGAAAATGTGTGGAATACCCACCGTGGAAGAAAACAAAAAGATAAATGTCTTCCAGCAGGAGTACCTGAACACATATATCACTTCCCGGAAAAGTATGGTGGCAAACCCTGTGGAATAACTTTGACAGAAGAACAGTTGGCTGATGTTTGTGATTTATCAGGAGTTATGGAAGTGAAAGATTTTATTGATACAGAATTTTATTTGAATTGTGAGAATTACATCAGAATTGCGGATATTAAACCAGATGAAGCAGATATAGCTTACTTGTATTTGAAATCAAAATTTGACACTATCTAAAAATGTAACTAGTTAAAAATTTGAAACTATACTTGAGACTGCTTACTCAACTATTGTCATATCCAGTCTAAACGGTCATTAAACATCCTTTTTTTGTTCCATAGTGAATCTTAAGTGCTCGTGATAGCATAACAATTGTGAATCGTATACAAAAATGTTACCTTTTTGATACGATCACTGTGTTTCGAATATGAAGTCGTAAATTGCTGTTGTCCTTATCTGTCCCCTGCCTGTTCACACAATTGCTTGTGATCCTGATGTATGCTACAGTTTCTTGCATAATTTTTGTTGCCCACATGAAATAAGCGTGTTGTAAAGAAATAAAAAAACTTTTTTGTATTACTTATTTATAAACAAACTTTGCATATATTACATGAAGAATCAATGACAAAATTGTAAGGGCATGACAAGCAGTTGCATTTACAATAGGTTTTAACGATCAAATTTTCACTTGTCACCTTGAGAATTGTCGTATTGTTGCAAGAAGAGACATACTTTCCAATTAATTCATTTGTCAAGATTAATTTCATTGGATAAAAAATATAGGCTCTAATGCATTCACAATAAAGTGTTTACAGACTGACGGAAATTTTCCTGACAACCTTGTGTGAACCAATTTTGAGAATATGAAAAGATCATCTTGGTCTGTATCTGTGACTTCTTGAATCTGTTGCTGGAACTAAACCATGTTCCATGATACAACATAGTCAAAATTCTGAAAAAAAAATTTCCTGTCACAGGCAACAGGTATCTTTTTTATTCACTGATATCCATATATCTGTGCATACAAGACTTATATCGTCAGTAAATGTGAGTCCAATTCTACTCTCCAGTATTCATAATTCTTCATATCTCGTAGAAATACTTGATCTACCTGTCCACAGAGATGAGTAACATCCAAAGATTTGACATACGTGTTAAAAAAAAAAACAACACCATACCATGCTAATGAGTCCTAGAACCTTTAGGATTAATTTAACTAAAAACAACAATAATCCGACCGACTAACTAAATAATATCTTGTCACAGTAGATTGTTAAAGCACAAATGAACCATTCCACTATACTCTTCTGAGTCCATTTCATTCAATTTCTCTAAAATTAGTTTGACTTCAGATTAGACTTAACATCTTAAAGGGATTGTAAAGAGGTTTTCTAAACTTTGTATGTGTATTAGGGAAACTAATAGTATCAATTTGGGTCATTCCAAATACCCATTTCGATGTCTGTGGTTCTTGCAATTCCATTAAAACTAATATGACGTCACAGAGAGTGATCTGCATAGATATCAATAGTAGCTTCTGGTGGATCACTGTCAGTGACATTATAAAACGAATTAGTTTTAGTGGAATTGCAAGAACCACAGACGTCGAAATGGGTATTTGGAATGGTGCAAATTGATGCTATACACATACAAAGTTTAGAAGACCTCTTTACAATCCCTTTAAGCGAGGTATATGACATTCATTTTTAACAATTATTGATAAATGAATATCATACCACACACCAGGTTCACCTTGTCAACCATATTGTAGGCAGCACTTTCACTGTTGGTTTAATGGGGCTAAAACAAGGTACGAGGTACTATTAATTGAAATAGTCGATTTAACAGTAAAAACACCAACAAACACAATTATCAGCAATAGGTTAGCTGTTCCTTATTACATTTTGATGAAGCAAGAAATTAAGCGAGGTATATGACATTCATTTTTAACAATTATTGATAAATGAATATCATACCACACACCAGGTTCACCTTGTCAACCATATTGTAGGCAGCACTTTCACTGTTGGTTTAATGGGGCTAAAACAAGGTACGGGGTACTATTAATTGAAATAGTCGATTTAACAGTAAAAACACCAACAAACACAATTATCAGCAATAGGTTAGCTGTTCCTTATTACTTTTTGATGAAGCAAGAAATTAATTAGTTATAATTTTAGTTTTCGTAAATAATAATATCCAAACATTACTTATGCTTATGGCAACTTGTAAAAAACCAAGTTTGTAATGGTATATTTAAACGTTAATAATAAATTTTCTTGCAATACTACACCAATAATTACCATTTGAATGAAATACCTATGTGGATTGAGACTATTTAAAGGAATACTGTGTAAATGAAATACCTGTTGGATTGAGACTATTTGAAAGCAATACTGTATGAATGAAATACCTGTTGTATTAAACCATATACGGTAGTCTACAATAATAACCATTTGAAAGTAATACTGTGTGAATGCAATATCTGTTATATTGGTATAATATAATATATTAAAAATTAAACGATTAGAATAGATGGGTCTCTTTGAAGTAAATATAAGCTATAACTGCTAAAAATTGGAACACAGGTAACTGAGAAACTACCTGTAGCTTGATGGTGTAACTGACAAAATATTTGTGCCGACAGGTTTATTAGTAGAAATACCACTACAAGAAGGCATATTCCTATTATGTTCATTTGTTGTGTTCATGTCAGTCTGAGAAGATTCAACGAATCTGATGTGAAGTAATTTAAATGATTTGATCTGATCAATATTTGAGAAAGATGGCCCTCGATCTCCTGCCATGATGTCACATTTGTAAAAAGATGGAATATCAAAATGTTTTTGACAAGCAGCCTTAATGCTATCTAATGACATCTCCCCGTTAAATTCCACCATTGTGAGGGGACCAAGACGGCGATATTTTTGACATTTACCCTCAACATGTTCTGAGAGTCTTTGAACAGTTAAATATTCCAAGGTTTCGCCATCACCAGTACCCTTGCCCTTTGCTTTGTCCCCCCCCCCCTCCCTGTCTACGTTTGGCAATTTGGGTCTTAAAATCTGTCCATTTTCGTTTAGACATATTTACTCGGGTTTAAGGCCTACCTGTGAGTTTAATTATGGAGATTGAGATACTATTTTATCTCAAAATCAAACTAAAGAACTTGTGACAGAACACCAAAACACTACATGTGGTGCTATTTCCGTTAAGGGGGAAGTTACTCGCAAGAGCGCATTCAAGGGAAATAACTCCTGCTAACACTTATATGCAATGACGTCATTGCTTGGATGATAGAAAGTGTGACTGGATAATCTGGACATTATGGCGCAGTAAATGAAGAAGAATTTTTTTTTAAAACGAAAATGAAATTAAAAGTAAAATGATTTTAAAAACAAAACGAAAGTGAAAGTAAAATAAAAAGTAAAATGAAAGTAAAAGTAAAATTATTTTAAAAACAAAACGAAAGTGAAATAAAAAGTAAAAATGAAATGAAAGTAAAATGAATTTAAAAACAAAATGAAAGTAAAATAAAAATAAAAGTAAAATAAAAAACGAAATGAAAGTAAAACGAATTTAAAAACAAAATGAAAGTAAAATAAAAAACGAAATGAAAGTAAAATGAATTTAAAATCAAAATGAAAGTGAAATAAAAATGAATTCAAATTAAAAGGAATATATTTTTCATAATGAAGATAATAAAACAGCTATGGTGCTCATGGGCCACCATACACTTAACATGGGGTTATTATTAGATAAATCGACTAATTAGATTAACCTGGCTGTCAACCCCGATAGAAATCAAAGTTTTAAAGACACCCTCCCTTTTATATTCCTTTAAAATGTTTTGAGTCCAGTTGCGGTATATAAATAAGCTCTAGGGTGGATTGAACCGTGTTATACTGTAAGTTAAGCTTACGGAAGCACATTAAAGGCATACCTCCACTTAATTTACCAACTTTCTTATTTCTTATCCGATTTTCATCAAACTTGGAATGTATTTGTATAATCAAATTCTAAATTTTATGGAATAATCGAATTTGCTTAGTGCGCATGCGCATTACCAACTTTCTTATTTCTTATCCGATTTTCATCAAACTTGGCATGTATAAATCAGTTCTAAATTTGATGGAAATATTGAATTTTTGTTGTGCGCATGCGCATTAACAACTGTCTTATTTCTTATCCGAATTTCACCAAACTTAGTATGTATGTGTATAATCGAATTCTGAAATTGATGGAAATATTGAATTTTTGTTGTGCGCATGCGCATTACCAACTTTCTTATTTCTGATCCGAATTTCTCCAAACTTGGTATGTATGTGTATAATCCAATTTTAAATTTGATGGAAATATTGAATTTTTGTTGTGCGCATGTGCATTACCAACTTTCTTATTTCTTATCCGATTTTCATCAAACTTGGAATGTATGTGTATAATCAAATTCTAAATTTTATGGAATAATCGAATGTGCTTAGTGCGCATGCGCATTACCAACTTTCTTCTTTCTTATCCGATTTTCATCAAACTTGGCATGTATGTCTATAAACCAGTTCTAAAT